TACTCTTTGCTGAAATATAACAAGGAAAGAAAAGCTGTACATCTGAAAGGAAACAGAAGAGAAAAATGCTCCTGCCAGAAGAATATACAGCCCAAAGTACACTGTTAAATATGTCTCCTGCACCTGTGTCTCTGAAAGGTTTTTCTGCAGCTCCTTGTTGGTAGCCATCAGATGCTGGTTCTGATCCTTGAGCCCTGCCTGTTGCCCATACCTGGTGGATGACCTACAGACAGGACAGGTGCATCCAAAAGTTGAAAAGAAATGAGGGATGACGCTCACTGCATTTTCAGGGATATAACATATAATGCATGACTTACCCTTTGGGGACTTTGGGAGCAACATTTTTCCTGGAAAACACAAGTGAAAACAAGATATTCAATAGCTTTTAAGCAGACATGTTGAGCCTGGCAGGTAAGAATGAGTTTGCATTGAACGATGAAAGGAAAATGATCGTAAAGTGCGTCAAGGTTTCTCTGAATGAAGCACTCAATTTACAATAAGGATGTTTATACTTTGTACTTCATTCTAGGTTTGCCCCCAAATTCTTCCGTTCATCCCTTTGCCTTTTGGGAGCAAGGTTTAAGGCTAAAAAAGATTTGATTTGAAGCTGTAGTGTGTTACTGTAAATTGACAACTGGTGGCAAAAGGTCTGCATAGAGTTTTTTATTCATATGTATCAGCTTGTTGAGTGTTGTCGGATTTGTAGGAGGTTTAACCAACATCTTCTAAGTGGTGACATGTACAGTTTTTACGCTTGAAGATTTGAAATCAGCAATTTCTTACCTTGTCACGTTGTCACCAGTTGTCTTTGTTCCTGTATGGAGCTGCACACCTGGGAAACACAAGGTTACAAATCAGCTGTTAAAATATACAATTACAATATTTAAAACATACATTGTCATCAAAGTGCAAAAAAAAGCTTATTTTGCTTACTTCTTGGAATCTTTGAAGACATTGTGCTTTATCGTTTTCCAATTAATACAATGCAGGTCAGGACAAAGGTCTGTATGAAGAAAAAATCTGATTAAGTTTAATTAAGTTATTCCTGGAAATCTTCACTGATCCAGCCGTTTACCTAAAACTACAGTATAATGTTTGCATACATGTATTCTTACGATTAAATAGGTTTATCTTGGATTACAATAACAGATTACATACAATATAAGTGGATAACATGCCCTATATATTCGCTGTCATGCGGAACATACAACTGTTGATATTTTTTATGGAGTTTGGTGCGATTCTCCTAATATTCGGTGACGATTTAAGAAAAATAACATATCAAGAGTCTAGTTATAACCTTTATATATACAGTCTATGGTTATAACACATAACACAACAACAACGCCTACCTTTATCCAGAGCCGTATAATAGAATCTTTCTATATGGCGCTGCTTTTATCGATACGAAAAATGTGAGATCTGTCAACAACAGTCAACCCCAGGAATTTTGAAAACGTCCCGCCCTCAATAATCACTTCCGTTTTGATTACGTGAGATCCTGTACAGAAAAACCCGGGTTTTTATTTTTAAAAAGTGTGGTATTTCTTTATTCAAATAAACTATATGTGAGAATAGTGTACTTTAGAGTACTTTCAGAAATAATTAACGAAATAAATTTAAAAAACGTAAAAGAAAGACATAGTGTACTGCGCAGGCGCGGAGGCGGCTGAATTCAAACTGAAGACGTTAGCATCGGGCTCGTTGAATTTAGCAGCTACAGATAATGATAACCGTTTTAAGTAATGAGAAAGGGATAAAACAACACTATCCGTTTTAAAACAGCAGGAATACGCTCAGAACAACTACAAGGTATGCATTTTGGTGTATTGTTTGGTTGTTCATGTGGTTTTCGTCATATTGGCAGACAAACAGTCTTAGCGTTAAATACCGTAGTAGCTTTAACGTTACACTAAAATCAATGTGTTATCTTTGCTAGCGAGGTGTTCAATCTTCAATTTGTCTTGTGTATTAAATGCAGAAAAATGCAAACTTATTAGCCTAAGTATTTTGGGGATAATATGTTTTGTTGACAAGGGGGGAATCCATAGAGATGGAAGAAGTATTCAGATCTAATGCTATTGCAATACTCAAGTAAAGTCCCTCAGAATTGTACTTAATTGCAGTACTTGAGTAAATCTACTTGTTTATAGGTGTAATCACATGTCAAGTTAGATTATAAAGGCTAAATCCTTATACAGCTAACGATTCACTTATAATATGATATTTGTGGGGTTGTTAATTCTAATGCTCTAGCTAAAAATAAAGTCAGGCTCACAGATAATGCCATGTCTTATCAACTTAAATGTGATCATACACTGCAGAAGCTGTGTTTCCTCTATCAAACTCTGTCTTCATCTCTTCCCAGTTGAAAATGGAGCCTCTGGATCCTGACAGAAATGAGTGAGTAAAAGCAGTAGTAGCATTTTCTGTCCAAACTTCAAAGCAACCGCCCAGAGACAACCTAATTATCTTGCATTAACGATTAACTGGTCATTTGATGTATTTACATACATTGTATATCATTATATACACCAGGGCTGAGGCTGTGTTTCATGTATTGTGTTTCAGGGGAGGCAGTGGATTCTCCAAGCGCCGCATTTCTTCGGTCAGTGCTACAAAACATTTTTATTGACAGACTATATATAATTTGACTTCTTATGTGAGAAAATTTGACATTTGCAATATCTCCTTTTTAGATTTTAAAAGCACCACGAAGATCGATGAGATATTCTGACCCACAGCAACAAGAAATTGTGGTAACTGGATTACTTGATTAAAAATGTTACCTGAGTCTTGGGAATTTGTATTGTAATTAAATGTATTTTTAAACCATTATATATTTATGAAATATAAATTCTGAACCTATCAAGGATTCAGTTTAGTGTTATTTACATTGTTTATGGCCTTATCTTTATGTTATATAATATATATTTTCACTAAGGTGGAGTGTCCCAAACCAGTGGAAAAGAGGGTTTCGAGAAGAGTCAGTTTTGCCGCTGCCAATGGTGTTCTCCTTTTCTCAAGGTGAGATACAAAAATGAAGGTAGTCTTGATTTTCTACAGACACAGGAATGTTCTCCTAATCAATATATTTTCTTACAGCGATGAAAAAAATGACTCTCCTGTTCGAAGTCCTATACAAGAGTTAATACCAACATGTAAGTATAAAGTGTAGCGTGTATAAGTATGTGAATTTAAAATTATTCTTTTTTTAACACCCATTTCATCTTTGTCTTGTTACTCCACATCAGCAGCAGCCACACAAAATAGGTAAGGTGTCTTGATCGATTGAAGCACTACCTAATCTGTGGTTCATCTTGTTACTAGGGCTGCTCAATTAATCGTATTTTAATCGCAATTACGATTATGGCTTGCAACGATTACGAAAACAACGTAATCAAAATAAAACGATAATTTTTTATTATTATTATTACTTTTTATTATTATTGGTTTTTCAGTTGAATTATACTTAAAGTTCAGGGTAATCAACTGTTAAAAACATTTTTCTCCAATAAATTGATGTTTTCAAAGTAAATGGATAATTGTTTTTAATAATCGTGATCAATTATTGACCCAAATAATCGAGCAGCCCTACTTGTTACTACCACAAAACATTGATTTTAGATGCTAATGTTTGACCTCCAGTCACACCAAACCAATACAATGTATTGTATAACCAACACAAGTTTGTTCTCTTTCATAAGGGTCCAGTTGGCAAGCACTGAAGATGTCAAACAACACATTTGGGGTGAAAATATTAACTTTTAAACTTCAAAAAAATATTACCAAATGCTCACATTATCTATTATAGTGTAAAATGACTATTACTACATTTCAACTCTTCAATTTTAGGGATGAAAACCCTATTGAAGGCCCCTCTGCATGCTTTTCAGCAAAGGGATGGGGTAAGCCTGAAGTCACTTTGCTGGGAATGGTTAAATTGCTTTGTAATGATTTATATGTGGGAGGCGTGTGACGCAGTGGACTAGTGCGTTGGTGTTGGGATCAGGGTTCAAACCCCACTGCAGTCAGCATGTCGTTGTGTCCCTGAGACACTTCACCCCAAATTGCTCCTGTGGGGATTGCCCATAGTATTGAGTATGTAAGTCGCTTTCAGATAAAAGCGTCTAACATGTAATGTAATTATATATTATAATGGTAATCAGGATTTCATGAGAAACTTGATATTTTTAACAAACATTCATTGAGCTAAAGCTACTTATCTTCACCAGGTCGGCTTTGAGATGGACTTGGTGGAGAAAACGAGGATATTCTCGGATAATGAATTCATGGACATGACCCAGAGTCAAACTATAATCATCGCCAGTGATGCAGAATTACTTGAAAGTATTCCCCACCAAAACCATGATGTTTTACCCGCTAGAGGAGAGAAACCCTTCATGTTCGGTGCACGTGATGCATCTAGGGATATGACCCCAAGTGTTCCTGCTTTACTACCCACAAGCATGAACTTGAATTCAACTGTAGAGAAGAGCAACATATCTTCAGCAATGCCTTTGTTGCATCCTGGATATGAAAACGTCTGCTTCTCTAAAATATCGGGCCCCAGCGTTAACCCTTTGACCACCAGAACCACGCCCGCTGCTGGTACATCCTCCGAAAAAGGAAGCATCTCCATGGCCCAGATGAAAACAGTTTGTGTGGATGAAGAAAATCGGGTTCCAACTTCAGCTGTGAAAAATAAGTCTCTAAATACATCCAGAAAGATTGGTGACCTTTCTTATGGCAGTGCAATCTCTCCCCAAGATGATTTAAGCATGGATATGACTGAAGCTCAAACAGGCCGCATCCTGCGATCTACTGATGATGATCCCTTTCAGTGTCTTTTTCCCACGCAAGAAATGTACTCCCAACACGAGAACAGAGCGCCACAGACAGCAGGGAAGACCAAACAGCAGCCAATCAGCAAAACACCGGCATCATTCAACCCTAAAGGTATTGCATTTCATATCAACAAAATAACAAAATGATTATTCAACTTAATGTTCCAACACTAAAGTATTTCTTGAATTGTTTGTCTTCATTATGCTGGTGTTATCTCACTACTTATAATTGAATATAATGTAGTCTAAACGGCATCTTATTTTATTTCAAATTTAGATATGATATCCGGGAGGACTCGTTCTATGCAGGCTCAGAGACACAGGGTGAGTTCATTATTATTTGTACTGTTCTGTTACAGTGAATTTCCTATCTTTTAAGTCTGAAAGTAATCTTTCATGCCAAACAGAAAGGAAACGTGTTATAGTAATTGATTGTATAATAATAGTATAGTTTTCACAACATTGTTTTAACGCTAGTTTGTGTCTTTTCTTCTTCAGGTCACCCTTGGTACTAAAGATGAATGCAGAGATAAAACCATAAGGTTCTCTGCAAGCGACAAGTTTATGAATATGACTCCGAGTCACCCGGTCAACATTGCCAGTGGTTCATTGGCTCAACAAAACATAGAGAGAATTCCCCCTTGTGGAAAAATTGACGAGAGAAAACGGGAAAATACTGGTGTGCCTGAGTCGTCAGCAAATGCTGTGGATCTTGGATTTAAAAACTTCCCTTCAAGTGTCTCTAAAGTTGGCACCCCCAGTGATAATCCAGCAATTGCTAGAATGGTACTTTCCTCTGCAGCATCCTCTAGGGAAACTGTCAACGCAAACAGCTCCCTCTCCGAGCGTAAGAGTTATGTTGGTAAAGAGAATCAGTCACAAATTACATCTAGGAGCTTTGGAAAATCATTTAATGGAGGTACAATCTGTGCTGAAAATGACGGGAGCATGGATATGACTGAGGCTCAGACCGGCCACATTACAGGACTCACGGGATCAGAGGAGCCTTTCCAGTTTATGTTTCCTTCACAAGATATGTACACCAACAGTGAAAGTGTGAAGAAACAAGAGATGACTTCAAGGGCGAAGAAAAGCAAAGTGCTAGGATCTTCTGACCGCACAGGTATGGAAACGACAAACCTTTCCCCCTACATTTGTAAGAAAAAAACCAAAACAAGACATTTGAGATATAAAAATGCTAATGAAAATTGTAACCAATTTTGATTGTGGTAATGTGAATGGTGATGTGAATCAAAATGGGACTTTGGGTTTACTAACTTACATTTTATTTAATTTTCTATCTCCACATATTAGGTTTGGAAACCGAAAGAAATCCGGTAAGCTTAAAAATCAATTACTTTTTTAGTTTTCATGTGCATTAACTTTATTCAAAATGAATTATATACAGCAACTTTGTATGAATTATTAAGTTACATTTTATAGAGCTGTATTTTGTCTTTATGTGGTTATATTTTGATTCAGCTGAAATAAACTAATTCCTTAAGTTTTGCAGAATCGCAGTAAATGCACTTTTTAATGTAATTTGAAGGTCGATGTTTTCTATGACTGACCACTTACAGTTATTGTTGTTTTCCTCCACACACAGGTCAAATTTGATAACGAAGAGAAAACAGTCAGGTTTAATGCAGATGATGCAGCTATGGATGTGACAAGAAGCCTCACTGTAAACCTTGCCACCAATTTCGCACAACAGCCCCACAAATATGTGGAAAATCTACCTGCAGGTGGAGAGAAAACTGTTAGGTTTAATGCTGACGATGCCTGTATGGATGTGACAAGAAGTCACACGGTTAAAATTGTCAGTGATTTACAACTGCAGACACAACCAAATGTGGATTTTTTACCGGCCTATGGAGAGAAAACTGTGAGGTTCAATGCTGACGATGCCTGTATGGATGTGACAAGAAGTCACACGGCAAAAATTGACACCAATATACAACTGCAGTCACAACCAAATGTGGACTTCCTTCCGGCCTGCGGAGAGAAAACTGTCAGGTTCAATGCTGACGATGCCTGTATGGATGTGACAAGAAGTCACAGTGTAAATATTGCTACAGATTTAAAACAGCAGCCACACAAAAATGTGGACTTCTTACCAGCTTGTGTGCAGAAAACAATGGGGTTCAGTGCAAATGATGCAGCTAAAGATGTGACAAGAAGTTGCACTGTAAACATTTCCTCAGATTTTGAACCAAAGTCTTACCAAAATGTGGAAAGTCTACCTGCTTGTGGAGAAAAAACTGTCAAGTTCAATGCCACTGATGCGGCTATGGATGTGACCCAGTTCCTTGCTGTAAACACTGCCAGCAATTCAGAATCAGATCCACATCTTCCACACAGAGAATCTAACATATTATCCACCAATGAAAACAGGGATTTCCCTGTATCTGCAAAGAAGGCGCAGCGACCGCTTAGAAACCGATCTGCACACGTTTTGGATAACGGATTTAAAAACACCCTGTCCATTAAAGGTGGTGCTAATGCCGTGAACACCGGAGAAGTGGCTGCTGCTGCAGGCCTTCAAGAAACTGTCAACACAAATGGCCCACTTAGAAAACAGAAGCCCAATGTGGATACTGAAAATGAAGCGCCAGGGTTCATTTCAGCTGTAATAGAGAAGCCGGTAAACAAAACCATGACAGAAGATCCACAGGACGATGTAAGCATGTATATGACTGAAGCTCAAACGGGTAGCATTCTGGGACAAACGTGTACAGATGAGCCACCTCAATGCCCCCAGATCAATGAAGCACTAGGATGTCTGGAAATCCTAAACTTTCCCGATTCTCTAGACTCAAAAGAAACGTACATCTGGAAGGAACCTGAACCAATAAATCGAACGTGTACTTTACCACAGAAGACGGAGAGTAATCCTGGTGCCGTTGTTGACGCTGCGCCTTCACAGAAGTCTAGACGAATTAGTTTAGCCGATGTTCAGTCAAAAGTGAGGCGTTTAAGCCACATGATGAATACAGCTCCTGATACCATCGCATTGGACAGCTGCACAGCACCTGTGACTGGACTGGAAAGCGAAATGGACCAAAACTCAATGGACAAAACCGCATTCCTACCTGTAACAGAGTCTGCACATGAAATAGGTTTACTAAATACAGAAGAAAATCCACAAGCTCAATGTCTTACGCAAGAAAAACCCTCTACTACCCCTTACAACTTGAAGACTAAACAACTGATGTCCAGACTCTCAGTAGGAGGCTTTAAGGCAAAACTCCCGCAAAGAAACAAACCTGATGATCAAAAAAAGGAGTCTGCTGCGGGAGAACATACAAGGACAGTGAATGTTACTAATCAGCTGAGCAACTTCGACGATAGTGTGAGCGATATCTTCGATGAGGAGCTTGAAAGCTATGAAGATTTGTCAGAAACACTGGACACAATGAGTCCTCCGAAATCCACAGAAAAAGAGAGTACTACCCAGGACTTATACGTGGACGATAATTTACTGGACAACTTATTTCAACAGGACTTGAGCAGCATCGTAAATAGCAAAAAGAGACCTTTGTCAGAGGAGGAAAATAACCCACAGGATGAGAAGAGATGGAAGACATACAATGAGGCAGCCACTGAGGGTGAAAAGGTATGTCAAATTAGAGTACTGTCAAGTCTCAAGTAATGGATGGGATCTTATTAAGCCTTAAAGGATTGCTTCACCCCCAAAATGATCGCCAATTACTCAACCTTTACTCAAGCCGCGTTCACACCGGAGTACTTTTCCCACTTTAGTTCCGATATAGTTCCGAAATGTCGCGTTCACACCAAAAAGAGCCGGAACTAAAATGAGTTCATGAGAACCTTTTTACCCCCTTTTCCGTCCCTGCTAGAGAGCAGGGACTCTCATGCGGCTCTCTTGTGAGAAAAGAGCTATATTTCTGATTGGCTGGGCGGATTGCAAACCACGCCCCGTAAAACTCAAAAAAAGTGTTGTGAAGCCACCATTTTATTAGCATTAGCCCAGCGCAGAAACGCAGAGAGACTAACTTATGGCAACACAAAATAAAACATGGGAGCGGTGGAGATGAGGAGGTGTCGGCGTTCTGGCGATTTACTCGAAAGGCTTCGTTAGAAGCTGCTGGGAGTCCCAGCAGCTTCCACTGAAGCCAGTCCCTAACCCCGGGGACTTCCGGGCCGGGGACTTCGGGTGGCAGTATACGCCGTGAAGTTGTTTGCGGCCTGCCAGTAAACCCAAAGCAGAAGCAGAAGAAGAAGAAGTGACGTCAGCGGCTTCATTTGCCT